AAGGTCTTCAGGTTATAAATCTACCATCCGCCCGTGCATTAAATATTGCTGCCATATCTGGTCTGTTGATCCTGTTATATATTTCGAGATCTCTATCTATAAAAGGCAGGATGTGTGTGTGTGTGTGTGTGTGTGTGTGTGTGTGTGTGTGTGTGTGTGTGTGTGTGTGTGTGTGTGACGAATGCACGGCCGCAATTTTCGACGGATTTGCACCAAAATTTACATGCACATGCTCCAAGTTATTACAAAAGCCAAGACCGACCTTGCATTTCCTAACTCCCATCGATAGTAGAAATAATCGATTTTTTCATGCTTCTACGGCAGTTTTCATGTAGTTTGCGACCATTTTCTACTGGCCAGAGTGACAGCCTATAGCTGGCTGACACGAATAGGTAGGAAGATTCTATTGGCCAGCGTCAGAGCCAACAGCTGACTGAAACGAATGTTAACTAGCATGCTAGCATGCAAAAAAATCAATAGCTGCATTCGTCACAAGTGGGAAAATTTTAAATCTGCATGGCACTTTACTCCAATTGGCTCATTCGCTTGCTTAAACTCAACGTTGATTCTGATTCCGCAGAACTGGGTTGGGTGTGAAAACGTATTTGTTGTTAACATTCTTTTTTCATTCGGTTTTTCCAGTTACGAGTCCTTTTTTTTTTTTTTAAAGCTGATCGTTTTGTGTTCATTTTGTTTAGTTCTTTTTTCGTAACAGATTTAATGTTTAGTATAGAGCTTAGAAAAAATTCGCAGTGTGAGATAGGCAAGAAGTAAGGCATGTAGAAACATCAGCACGGCAAAGGGCACTCCGTTAAAGGCAAGGAAGGGCAAAAATATTTTAAGTCAAGTGATCGCTGTATGAGACGTACGATTTTTGAATCAAGCACGGGCAACGCCGGGCCATGCTGCTGCTAATAATAATAATAATAATAATAATAATAATAATAAAAACAGAAGCCTTCACAATACCAACAGATCCTGTCTCTTCGAGGGCGGAGAACCACAGTCTTTTCACTGTTTGCTTTGAACTCAGGTTCGAAGTAGTGAACCCTGCGGTGGAAATTCTCAGGACCGCCCCTAAAGCGAGTCAGGAATGTCTTGGAAATGTCAACTCTTTTCAGCTTCTTCTCTGGTGTCAGCCTTCTTGGGTCCCATCTTGGAGACAGCTTGCTCATCCCCAAGATCCCAGTTAAAACAGCATGAACCAAAGCCAAACTGATGTCTGTAGACTTAGCTATCTGCTGGACAGTAAGAGGGTCTGTCACCCAAAACTGTACGGTGAATGGCATCAACTTGAACTTTTTGGACGACCTAACTGAGGCTCAATTTCCGTGCTGTCCGTACCCTGCCTTAATTCCGCAGCCCGTTCCTTTGCAGTTGCAAAATGTCTACCATGTCCCCAGGGATTCCCTTGGCTGTCATACATTTCTTTCGTCGATAAGTTATGACTGATTGGGTCTCTGTCTTCTCCATTTTTAGATTTGTCCCAAATCTCTCACCTTCCTATGGGCCTAACCTGCACAGAAATTAAGACAAAAATCTGAATTAGTTTTTCTAGTTTTATAAGAGGTGGAGTGTTTCCCAACAAAAATGTTCAGCTATGGCTTTTCTGTCTGGGTGAGGCTTAGAACTTTTTGAACGACCCTCATATTTACCTGGCTTCGGCTGTGCAATGTTAAAATAATATCAGCTCAAGACCCGGAGGGCCATCACCTCAGGTAGTACCTCTCCTACGGGAGGGGGCTGGGGTCATATTCCGGTGCCTGTGGCGTATCCAAAAGGGGAAGTGCCGAAGGGAGCTTGAGATATTTTCCAACGGTATTGTCATTAAACACACTTTAAACCTCGATCTTGTATGCCATTCGGTAGAGACGTAGGCGCGCTGAAAAAAATCATTCAAAGAAGGGTCTGCAATGTAAGAGAGAGAGAGAGAGAGAGAGAGAGAGAGAGAGAGAGAGAGAGTGTGCACAGAAAGCGGGAAAAACGAAAAGTGGCTGTCGTGGTGTCGAGATGAGGAAGTGGACAAAATTTTAGGTCCAGCCTTACTGTCGTACTTTATGAAACCCCAAAAGGTAAGAAAACCGCCGGAAATTGTGGGCCCGATTTTGTTATTATCTTGATGTTTCTATTACGCATAACAAGGAAAGAGATCTTGCAGAAAATTGACTCTACTAGGATATACTCCAAGCCAGACAGACAGGGGAAACGAACTTCTGTAGCTGAACAGGAAGTAGTTGTATTAGTAAGGGGAGAAACATTAGAACTATAAAGGATAGGAAATTGTGGAGAGTCATGATTTCCAACATTCTGAAGAGATATACGATATAAAAGAGAGTTCCTTCCGCCTTTGCACATTATTTAAAGCTTTCTTGTTTCCCTAATACTTCGGTTAAATGTCCCTTAACTAAATGTCACTTCTAATTGACCAACGCCATTTTATTTTGTCTAAAAACAAATCTGATTTGATATCTGTCTAGTCTACGCATTATAAAACTCTAAATTAATGACCCCTATAGTTTTTTGGTCAGTCAAAGCACGTAACAAACCCGTTTCAAGCGAAACAGACATTCTAATTACCAGTCAGTGTCTCAATTCAAAAAGTTACTCAAATGACAATTCAGTTAGAGAAAGAAGGTTTTTTAAGATGGTTCTCGTATTTTGGATTGGAGCTGAAATAATATTCTGTTCTAAAAGAGATACTAACATTGTTAGGCTTTTTATTGGTTACTTTGAGTTTGATTAATAAAAGTGGAAAGATTCGACACTGGAGGAAATTGATAAATAAAATGAAACGTAATGATGATGGAAGAAGGGCAGGAAGAAAGGAAGGAAGGAAAAAAGAAAGTGGATTAAAGAGGGAGTAGGAAATAAAAAAAACGAGAAAGAAACAAAGAAGAAGATTAAAGAGGTGAAATGAAATACGAAAACTAAGAAAGAGAGAAAACAGAAGAAAAATGGATTCCATGGAATTTAGGAAAAATAGAAACCTGACAAAGAAAGAAAGAAAGAAAGAAAGAAAGAAGGAAAGAAAGTGGTTTAAAGTGATGGTAAAAAAATGTGAAAACTGAGGAAGAAGGAAAGAAAGAAAGAACAAAAGAGAATTAAAGAGGTATGGTGATATAAAATGAGAAAATTAAGAAAGAAAGAAAGAAAGAAAGAAAGAAAGAAAGAAAGAAAGTTGATAAAAGAGATGAGAAAGATGGAAAGAATGAGAAAGAAGGAAAAGAAGAACAAAAGACGATTAAAGGCGGTATGAAATGGGAAAATTAAGAAAGAAAGAAAGAAAGAAGAAAGAAAGAAAGAAAGAAGAAAGAGGGAAGGAAGGAAAGAAAAAAAAGAAAGCCAAAAAAAGGAAGTGGATGAAAGAGGTGGTAGGAAATGTGAAAGCCCGGAAGAAATGTAAGAGAGAAAGAAAGAAAGGTCGAAAGAGGATTAAATAAGTATTGTGGTATGAGATTTGGAAAGAAAGAAAGAAAGAAAGAAAGAAAGAAAGAAAGAAAGAAAGAAAGAAAATAGATTAAAGCATTATGGTGGTATGAGATGTAAAACGAAGAAAGAAACAAAGAAACAATGAAAGAAAATAGATTAAAGAATTACGGTGGTATGAGATGGGAAAAGAAAGAAAGAAAGAAAGAAAGAAAGAGAGAAAGAAAGAAAATATATTAAAGCATGATGGTGGTATGAGATGTGAAAAGAATGAAAAAAAGAAAGAAAGAAAGGAGAAAGAAAATAGATTAAGGAATTATGGTGGTATGAGATGTGAAAAGAAAGAAAGAAAAAAGAAAGAAAATAGATTAATGAATTATGGGGGTATGAGATGGGAAAAGAAAGAAAGAAAGAAAGAAAGAAAGAAAGAAAGAAAGAAAGAAAGAAAGAAAATATATTAAAGCATGATGGTGGTATGAGATGTGAAAAGAATGAAAAAAAGAAAGAAAGAAAGAAGAAAGAAAATAGATTAAGGAATTATGGGGGTATGAGATGAGAAAAGAAAGAAAGAAAAAAAGAAAGAAAATAGATTAAGGAATTATGGGGGTATGAGATGTGAAAAGAAAGAAAGAAAGAAAGAAAGAAAGAAAGAAAGAAAGAAAGAAAAATATATTGAAGCATTATGGTGGTATGAGATGTGAAAAGAAAGAAAGAAAGAAAGAAAGAAAGAAAGAGAGAAAGAGAGAAAGAAAGAAAGAAAATATATTAAAGCATGATGGTGGTATGAGATGTGAAAAGAAAGAAAAAAAGAAAGCAAGAAAGAAGAAAGAAAATAGATTAAGGAATTATGGGGGGGTGAAATGAAAGAATGTGAAAAGAAAGAAAAAGAAAAAAAAGAAAATATATTGAAGCATTATGGTGGTATGAGATGTGAAAAGAAAGAAAGAAAGAAACAGAGAAAGAAAGAAAATATATTAAAGCATGATGGTGGTATGAGATGTGAAAAGAAAGAAAGAAAGAAAGAAGAAAGAAAATATATTAAAGAAAATTATGGTGGAATGAGATGTGAAAAGAAAGAAAGAAAAAAAGAAAGAAAGAAAAGAGAAAGAAAGAAAATATATTAAAGCATGATGGTGGTATGAGATGTGAAAAAAAAAAAAAGAAAAGAAAGAAAGAAGAAAGAAAAAAGATTAATGAATTAAAATGAAAGAAAGAAAGAAAGAAAAATATATTAAAGCATTATGGTGGTATGAGATGTGAAAAAGAAAGAAAGAAAAAAGAAAGAAAGAAAGAAAGAAAGAAAGAAAGAAAAAAGAAAAAAAAATATTAAAGAATTTTGGTAAAAGATGTGAAAAGAAAGAACGAAAGAAAGAAAGAAAGAAAGAAAGAAAGAAAGAAAGAAAGAAAGAAAGAAAGAAAATATATTAAAGCATTATGGTGGTATGAGATGTGAAAAGAAAGAAAGAAAGAAAGAAAGAAAGAAAGAAAGAAAGAAAATAGAATTAAAACATTATTAAGGAATTATGGGTATGAGATGTGAAAAGAAAAAGAAAGAAAGAAAATATATTAAAGCATTATGGTGGTATGAGATATGAAAAGAAAGAAAGAAAGAAAGAAAGAACTGAAAAGACTAAGAAATAATAGATAGGTAGATAGATAGATAGATAGATAGATAATGAACAGACTTAAACAGAAAGAAAGAAAGAAAGAAAGAAAGAAAGAAAGAAAGAAAGAAAGAAAGAAAGAAAAGAAGAAGAAAGAAAATGGATTAAAGAATTATGGTGGTATGAGATGTGAATAGAAAGAAAGAAAGAAAGAAAGAAAGAAAGAAAGAAAGAAAATAGATTAAAGCATTATGGTTGTATGAAATGTGAAAAGAAAGAAAGAAAGAAAGAATGAAGGAAAGAAAGTTCATAAAGAGAAATGGTTTGGCAAAAAGATGCTGAGAATATGATGGACGGGGCTTTTAAGCTACGAGTAAGCTTTAAGGAAAATGGCAAATAGAAAGGACACATATAATCATAAAGAAATAGTCGCAACTTCTGGGACATATAATAAGGAAAGAGAGCTTGGAGAGTTCAACACTCACTGGAAATACTGAAGGCAAAATACGGAGTGGAAAACATCGAGTAACCTATCTAACAAACTTTTGCATAATAATGATTAAGAAATATTGAAACAAACATGACTTAAAACTGCGCAGGATAGGAAGTTGTGGAGAGCTTGGATTTCCAGATTTCTGAAGGGACACGCTATATATAATGTGTTTCGCGACTGGGCTCCTATTTTGACTGATTCAAACACTGTTAAAATACATTGATTCTAAAATCGGACATTATTTTCCGAACAACCTAAGCGGAGAGAACAACACAAGGAGAGTTGAGTTATCAAGGGAATTAACTGAAACTAAAATATCCAAAGGCATGGTACATGGTGTTAGAACAATCTGCCCCCGTGGACTAAATAAAGGGTTCGATTCGAAATTCTAAAAAAAATATCACCTGAAGAAAGCCGTAGCGTAGAACGACCGAAACGTCTCAAATATGCAAATATTATAAATAACATAGTATTTACTTTGGCTAACAAATCTTAATTATACTGTTAGCATGCGTCGTAAATGAATAAAATTTGGAAAAAAATGCTTCGTAGACAGTTCCATTTCACCGTCAATCTGTGTGGTTCTGCGTTTCCAAACTGGCGTATCGCGATGCATCAGTGACATTCATTACCGTTTTTTCTTACACAATTAAAATAAATTCTTCATTGAATTATTTTGTTTGATCTACATTCTGAATTATATATTTGGCTTTGCTACCAACATTTACGTAATGTTTCGAAAATAATGCTTTAAAATCTGTCGCCAATTCCAAAAAAAAAAAAAAATGTCTGGAAAGCTTTTTAAATAGATTATTAGACTTAATTTCTTTGTTGTTCCCTCCGAATTGGCGTGCTGAATCTTTTTACGGCAATTACCTAAACTTACGCCAATTTACGGTAATTAATTATACGTCCTGCCATTAATTTGTAGTTAAATCTTTCATTGAATCACAAGGGCAAGTCAAAATTGATCCGCATTTTCGCCAAAACATATCATTAGGTTTGGCCCACTACCATCTGCTCATGCGTGTTTATAGTTGGGGTTACTCTGGTCCATAGCTTTCTTGTTGTTGTTATAATGTAAGCATGGCCGCTCCGCGAGCAGTGTGCACCATGGAGCAACAAAGAGCATTGATCCGATTTCTCTTGTCCGAAGGTGTGTCAGGGCTGAAATTTATCGGAGGCTTTTAACACAATACGGCTACAGTGCACAATCACGTAGAAATGTGTATAAGTGGATTGTGAAGTTTTAAAGGTGGCCGAACAGGCGTAACGCACGAAAAAGAAGCAGGTCGCCCATCTACCTCCATTACTGAAGGGAAGAGATGGTAATGGTAAACCGGTGAGTTACCGTCGATGTGGTAGCATGTTCTCTGCAGATTCAGATCACTGCTCTTTGTCCTTCTTTGGTGCACACTGCTAGCGGAGCGGTCATGTTTACATTGTAACAGCTGCAAGAAAACTGGCGCGGTCAAGTTCAAGCTTCGATCACGTGACCACAATAGTATCAACTATAAGCACGCATGAGCAGAAGGCAGCGTGAGAAAGCTAAAGGTGTGTTAAGGCGAAAGTGCGGATAATTTTTGAGTTATTCTCTTATAACCTTTTATAAAGAGTCAGAAAATAACATTTTTCTTGCCTTAAAATTTAAATATGTCACAAATGTTTCTTTATAACCATATTTCGATACAGGCTTTTGTTCTGTGTATGAAAATGAGGTTATACAGGATTTTGAGAATTCTGTGGACGGAATTAAGCAACGGGGGATTCTTAAAGAAAATGGTGGCATAAAGAACACCTATACCCTGAATCAGAAAGATGTAATTTCTTGGGATCATAATGAGGAAGAAAGGCGTGGAAAACTTACAGATCGTATTGAGAGCAAGCGAGAGAAAGCAGTGGTCTACCTACCTGAATAGCTTGAATGAATGAATAACATAACAAGTAGCAGAAGGCAAAGAGAGAAAAAGGCTACGAAGGGTAGGAAGTTGTGGAAAGCCATGATCAACCATTGTCCTGATCGGACACAGAACAAAGGAGAAGTGGCGAATGCAAACAATTTGGAAAACTTTGTAAAGACAGAATGCCTAACTGCTTTTTTCGCAGTCTGTGTAGGTCACTTAACTATAGAATTAGTGTGTCGACACACTTTAATGCAATTAATTACCCTCAGTATCTGTCTATATTTCTGAGATGAGGTATTATGTATTATTTAAATTATTCAGACTATTGTCCTCATCTTTGTCGCCATATTTATTAGAACGTTTCGGCTGTTGTTCACTCCGGCCTTCTACAGGTGGTTGGAATGTTGAACCGAACCCTTTATTTCGCTCACTGGTGTAGACTATTCTAGTCCCACGTGTCATGTCTAATGGATGTCAGTTATCAGTTATCGCCTGTTAATTCCCCTTTCCAAATTCTCCACCACCTTAACCAAGTATTGAACTCACACTCTTTGGGTCCTGTCACTGGATCTAAGCAACGCCTTTATCCACTGTGCCATGTGTCCTTCAAGACAAAGATGAGGACAATAGTCCGAATAATGTAAATAGTGTAACTTAATTACCCGTCCCCTCTTTGTTAGCTAACATTTTTATCATTGAAACATGTCTTTTTACATTTATTTTGAATTATCAGGTCATCCCGTAAGTTCTGTCCGAATTTTGAATAAAGAAAACAAGTGACCAAATGTTACATTTAATTACAGATTCAATCAACAATGTATTTTCCCTGATTATCTATGACTTCCTTCCATCTATTAACAAGCTTACTAATTCCATTACTGTAAAATTCTTTTGGCTTTGATTCGAAGAACTCACAAATGTCAGTTTTAACCTCTTCCTGTGTTACAAAAGCTGTTTCTTCCAAATGATTCTGTAAGCTACGAAACAAATGATAGTCTGAAGGAGCAAGATCGGGAGAATAAGGTGGATGAGGAATTTTCTCCCAACCAAGTTCTTCGATCTTTTGTGACATGATTCTTGCTGTGTGGGGTCGCGAATTGTCCTGATGAAACATCACCTCTTTTCGATTTACTAGAGCAGGTCTTTTTTTCCTCAAAGCTTGGTTCAAACGCTCTAATTGCTGACAGTATATTTGAGCATTAATTGTTGCATTAGGTGGTAAGAATTCAAAGTGGATTATTCCTTGACGATCCCACTAGATTGAAAGAAGAACCTTTTGCCCATGAAGTTCCCTTCTCGGCTGTGGCTGGGGTCCTTCCCCTTTCTCAAGCCCCTGTCTACGACGCTTAACATTTCGATAAAAGATCCATTTTTCGTCGCCAGTCACAAGTCTATCAAAAAAGGTGAAACAAGTTGGCGAGAATGGAGAGAAGAGCAGATGTCAACTCAGGATTTGAGGTTGTTTTCAAACAATTCATGAGGCACCTATTTTCCCAAGTTTAGAACTTTTCCAAGTTGTTGAAGATGACGATGAACAGTTGTATGGTTTGAACTGAGAACCACTGCCAATTCCTCAACTGATAAAGCAGGATTTTCTTCAAGGGCTGCTTCAAGAAGCTTTTCATCAAACTCAACTGGACGTCCGGTTCGATCTTCATCTTCAAGGGATGAAATTCCACCTCTGAATTTTGCAGACCATCTTCTGCAAGTTCTTTCATTCACACATTCCTCTCCATAAACTGAGTGAATGCTTCTAGCCGATTCGACTGATGAATTTCTTTTCTTGAACTCATAAAGCATTATGTGCCTCAAATGATTCTTGGGTACTTCCATGTTAGCAGGGTTGTAATCAAACAAAATTTAATTTTATTGTTCTCTTGAAATAAAATTTGATCAGTTTAAATGCATCTAAACATAAAAATAATGTTCAGTTGCATTAGATATTATAAAATACTCTTTAAATTTCGTTCATTTTAAAAAAAGGTAAAATTCGGACAGAACTTATGGGATGACCTGATATATATTTGGTTTGGATCACAACATTTAAATAATGCTCCCCACCAAAAAAAAAAAAAAAAAAAAAAAAACGTATAAAAAATAACAATTGTGTCGTGGTGTATTAAGTTTGGAAAATTTTGTAATGAGATTAGTCGAAAGTTTCCATTCTTGTTTTGCAGCCAATTGGAGGTACCAAAATCAATTGGAGGTACCAAAATCAAACAAGTACAACAATTTAAATATCTGGCAACCGTTATAAAGGAAGACAAAAAGTGCAACACTGAAATCCAAACATTAGAAAAGCGAAAGATGCCTTCCGAATGTTAAGCAAAGTATTAAGAAACAGGAATTTTTCGTTAGAAACAAAGAAAAGAGTACTGGAGTGTTATGTAATGCCAGCGTAAGATGTCTTTCCAGTATTGATGGGGTTTTCCTTCCTAACCTTTTGTTTCAAGTAGTGTGGAATGTCAACATCTTGATTATATCATTGTTTTCTCTTCGACTTACATGTGATATCCATTTTAATTGTTACTGGTGTCGAAAGACCTCAAGTGTTTTGGTTTTTGTTATCTTGTACAGTTCTTTGTTGGGCGATTCTTTAACGCCAGGCGACAAGGTTCAAAGAAGGTCCTCGCTAAAAACGTACACGGTTAATTCGCTCAAAGGCATTTTAATCATTGATCTGAGGAAGCAGTTGTATACAGCTGACAGTTCAGATATTTCTGGATGCGTTTGGCATTATCTGAAAGTCTCGATTTGAAGAGGTTATTCAGGAAGATGACTCGAATTTTTAGGTTAATATTTTGGATTTGCAGCAGTTTGTGACTTTGGGCGAATCTACTCCTAGGGTCGCCTTTTTTTTAGAAAATTATTTCATCTTAAGAAAGACAGGAAAGCCACTAAGACTCAAGGGGTTAATTAGTTTGAAATAAGAAAAGCAGAAACTTTATTTAGGATCGAGGACAATAAAAAACACGAATGGAGAAGACAGTAGATAGCGATTGACATTACATTTAAATTTTTGAAGATCAAGTTCCACAAGCGAGAAGTGCGAGAAAAGAAACTGTTAGTAAAAAAAAAAACTTACGGTTACATTTATCCAATTCAACCGTAGAATGATGAAACCGTCTTGCCAAGGGTCCTGGGTAAGATGATAAACTGCATCCGTGTCCTGGGTAAGACGATAAACTACATCTGACAGCAAGGTCTCTGAGCAGGAGATTTTGAGGAACGTGGAATCTCCTCTTAATTGGTGGTGTTCCTGGGTCCACCCTGACCCGGGGTGGTAGTACCTGTTAGGTCCTCAGCTATGGACAAATAGTACAAACTGCAACTGCTCCCTGGATAAGACGTTAAACTACATCTGACAGCAAGGCCTCTGATCAGGAGGTTTTGAGGAGCGTGAAACCATTGCTAGTGTTTTCAGATCAACCCTGACCCGGATGCAACTGTTAGGATCCCTGCTATGGCAAATAGTTGACCCCCAAATTATGGTCAACACACTGGATGTGTAAAAATAAGTTTTAATACCAGCAATGCATATTTGAAGGAAAAATTATTATCAACAATATATTTTTGAGGGAAAAATTATCACCAGCAATACATTTTCGAAAAAAAAAAATTCCAGAAATAGTTTTATGAAGGAAAAATTATTAGCAGCAATACATTTTTGAAGGAAAAATTACGAGAAATAGTTTTGTAGGAAAAATTATTACCAGCAATACATTTTTGAAGGAAAAATTACATTCAATACAGTTTTTAAGGAAAAATTATTACCAGCAATACATTTTTGAAGGAAAAATTACGAGCAATACAGTTTTGTAGGAAAAATTATTACCAGTAATACATTTTTGAAGGAAAAATTACAAGAAATAAAGTTTTTAAGGAAAAATTATTACCAGCAATACATTTTTGAAGGAAAAATTACGAGCAATACAGTTTTGTAGGAAAAATTATCACCAGTAATACATTTTTGAAGGTAAAATTACGAGAAATAAAGTTTTTAAGGAAAAATTATTACCAGCAATACATTTTTGAAGGAAAAATTACGAGAAATACTCTTTTGAAGGAAAAAATATTACCAGAAATACATTTTTGACGGAAAAATTTTGAGCAATACAGTTTTGAAGGAAAAATTATTACCAGAAATACATTTTTGAAGGAAAAATATTACACACAAAATATTATCAGCAATTCATTTAAAAAAATATTTACGAGTAATACATTTATGGGAAAATATTACCGGCAATAAAAATCTTGTCGGTATTAAATAATCCATGGAGTAAAACAAAACAAACCAAACAAAATTTTTAGCTCTGAGGTTAAGATATGTCATAAAACAAAGCCGACCATACCAAACCGTGTTGCTAATCTAGTACTACGCTTAATTTCACAAAGCCTGGGCAGCATAGAGGAAAGTAATATTTATTTTGAAAATACAAAGGTGTGACACAAGGCCATGGGAATGGAAGAAGGTTAGTCTTCAATCTGTCTTAACCTAGCTAGTTACGATTACTGACCCAAATATGCCACAGTATTCCTTAATCCAAAACAATACATTCTTTCTTACCATTCTTACTACAGCCACCATAATACCTCAAGTCTCTTTACCATAGAGGGAAGTTATATTTATGCTGTAAAAAAATACAAAAGTGTGGCACAAGGCCAACAGGGGGTATGGGGGAAATCTCTTTACCCGAGAGGAAAGTTCATCAGAATAATTACCATGAGCGTATTTATAGAAATGGGAAAGGGATTAGAGCCGAGATGCTAGGTCAAGACCAACAATGTTGCGGATTCTTTTTTGAATTTTGTCAAGAATCTCGAGATTTATTGTTCAGTCTCCTTATCGTCTATACTAAATTTGTTATAACTGATCCCTAGGTAAGTGTGTGTGGGGAGGGGTTTAAAATATATCCTACGCGGATAAGGGGGGTGTTGTATGCTATATTCATTTAGAAGCGGTTTCTATGTAACGTTTTGATCGCGTCAATTGTTTTCACATTCAGAAGGTTCACGGGTGTCGAGAAACATTGATTCTATTCATTGCGTCGTTCACCAGACGCTCATCATTAATAATGTGTTTTCACAAATGTTCAGCTCTTAACGAACGAGGAAGCGGTGGGCTGAGCCTTGAACAGCGGATTGTTTCTGTCTGGTTTGCTGGTTCATGAATATTCATGAGCTACGAAGACTTGAAGAAAATCTGGTTGCAAGCAAAGATTCACATCAGAGATTTAATAAAAAGAAAAGGCAAAAAGGACTTTGTTTGTAAATAATTCAACAGAATCAAGAGACGTTATTAAATGTCTGGGTTAGTGTTTATATGAGTTAAAGGATGAGGAGAAGGAGCATGAGAAAGAGGGAGAGGGAGAGAGACAAAAACAGAAAGAGAGTGAGTGAGTGATGGTTTAAGATAGATAGTTAAAGATAGTGATGGCTCGAGGGAGAGAGGGAGAGTGTGAAGGTGAATGAGAGAGAGAGAGAGAGAAAAAGAGAGAGAGTGATGTAGTGAGATAGAGACAACGTGTGCGAAGGGTGAGTTAGAGAGGGAGAGAGTGAAGGAGAATGAGAGACAGTAAAAGATAGAGTGATGGATTAATATATATATAGAGAGACAGAATTATGGATTGACTGAGAGAGAGAGAGAAAGATATTTAGAGAAAAACAAGAGAGACAGAGAGAGTAATGGATTGAGATCGAGTGGGACAAAGAGAGTGATGGATTTAGTGGGAGAGAGAGAGAAAGAGAGGGAGAAAGAGATAGAGTGACGGATTGGGATACAGAGAGAAAAAGAGTGATAAACTGAATGATCGAGAGAGTAAAAGAGAATGAGAATGAGAGAGAGAGAGAGAGAGAGAGAGAGTGAGACAAAGAGAGAGACGGATTGAGTGTGAGAGAAAGTATGTGAAAGAGAATGAGAGAGAGAGAGACAGAAAAATATATAGAGAGAGATTTGAAAAGGCAATACAAAAAGAAAAAAAAATAGAAGAATTATGAAAGTGTGAGAGAAGTGTGAGAGAAAGAGTAAAAAAAAAGTAAAAGATAGGTAGACCATGAGGGAAAGCAAGTGAGAAAGACAATGGAAAGAAAGAAAGAAAGAAAGAAAGAAAGAAAGAAAGAAAGAAGGAAAAGAAAGAAAAAAGAAAGAAAAAGGAAGGAAAAGAAAGCAAGTGAGAAAGACAATGTAAAGAAAGAAAGAAAGAAAAGAAAGAAAAAAGAAAGAAAGAAAGAAAGAAAGAAAGAAGGAAAAGAAAGCGAGAAAGACCATGAAAGAAAGAAAGGAGGAAAAGAAAGAAAGAAAGAAAGAAGGAAAAGAAAGCAAGTGAGAAAGACAACGTAAAGAAAGAAAGAGAGAAAGAAAGAAAGAAAGCAAGTGAGAAAGACAATGTAAAGAAAGAAAGAAAGAAAGAAAGAAAAGAAAGAAAGAAAGAAGGAAAAGAAAAGAAAGAAAGAAAGAAAGAAAGAGGAAAAGAAAGAAAGAAAGAAAGAAGGAAAGAAAGAAAGCGAGAAAGACCATGAAAGAAAGAAAGGAGGAAAGAAAGAAAGAAAGAAAGAAAGAAAGAAGGAAAAGAAAGCAAGTGAGAAAGACAACGTAAAGAAAGAAAGAGAGAAAGAAAGAAAGAAAGAAAGAAGGAAAAGAAAGCAAGTGAGAAAGACAACGTAAAGAAAGAAAGAAGGAAAAGAAAGCAAGTGAGAAAGACAATGTAAAGAAACGATTCATAGAAAGCACTTCTAAATGAATATAGCATACAGTACCCCACTTTATCCGGGTGGGGAATATTTAAGCACCCCTCCCCACTAGGTGACAGAAACCGGAGATATTACCGAGTTTTACCTAGGGGTCAGTTATAAGAAATTTAGTATAGGTGATAAGGAGACTGAACAATAAATCTTGAGAGTCTTGATAAAATTCAAAAAAGAATCCGCAACATTATTGGTCTTGACCTAGCATCTCGGCTCTAATCCCTTTCCCACCGCCGTAATATAGCTTCTCTCATGGTAATTGTTCTGATGAACTTTCCTCTCGGGTAAAGAGATTTCCCCCATACCCCCTATTGGCCTTGTGGTACATTTTTGTATTTTTTTTACAGCATAAATATAACTTCCCTCTATGGTAAAGAGACTTGAGGTATTCTGGTGACTTTAGTAAGAATAGTAAGAAAGAATGTATTGTTTTGGTTTAAGGAATACTGTAGTATGGGAGCAGGTATGCTGACCTAAATATCCCGGATATGCACAGTGAAGTAAAAAGGGATCATCAAACAATTGTGACCGAGTGTTTGAGCGTGCAGTCCTTGTTCAGATTGTTGATCACGCTAGATAACACGCAAAGATTCTCTCCCAGAAACTGTAACTACGGTCTGCTCAGCGTAATTACAGTATAAATCACAGGTGGGCTGTGGGTGTTGAACAAACACAAATGCGCCTGAGCGGGCGTCTGCAACAGGAACTGGCTAGCCACCATAATAGACGGGGATCCTCGAACACAAGTGGCCAGCTATTATATATATAGGTTCGAATCCTGTCGGAGAACGAATATTTTCTGTGAAAATTTCTCGGACATTCAGGCCGGTAAATGTTGGTTAATACTGTTTATTATAAACAGAGCATTTACTTAAATATTTGTATCTATAAAAAGAATATATGAACGTAAAAATGTCTTAAAAATAATTGTCGGACTTTGTCCATTTCATAATGTGTGATGTCATTTGTTTACATTTGATACGCCATGAACAGACATGAATGTACGTGAGAGATTCATTAAAGATTGAAGTCTAAATACAGTAAATTCGACCTTGATAACCGAACACTCTTCTGTGGCCAAATCGCTTTAGCTTTAACAGGCACGTCAAGCTAAATGACGGTTCCGTATAGGATACAGGTTCGAATCCTGTCGGAGGATGAATATATTCTGTGAAAATTTCTCGGACATTCAGGCCGGTAAATGTTGTTTAATACTGTTTATTATAAACACGGCATTTACTTAAATATTTGTATCTATAAAAACAATGTATAAAAACAATGTATAAACATAAAAAATGTCTTAAAAATAATTGTCGGATTTTTTGTCTATTTTTATAATATATATATATATATATATATATATATATATATGTGTATATGTGTGTGTGTGTGTGTGTGTGTGTGTGTAGAGAGATAGATAGACAGATAGATCGAGAGAGAGAGAGGAAGAAAGAAAAATGAGGCATAAAACGTGAGAAATGAAGAGAAAGAAAAACAGTAATGTATGTATTTACTTAACCACCACGAGGTCAAGTTTGACACAACGTCGGTTTAATGGGGGAGCTCGTCGCGCACATCCGGGCTAGGAACAAAAATTGCTCGCAGCCCCCACAACTGGCCTAGGTGCGAGCACCGATCCCTCTCTCTGGTGCAATGAGAGGACCCGGCTTCGGGCAGCAGTTTCCCAGGTCTGGGCACCTCTCAGTATAATTTTCCTCAGTTGCGACTCTGTCCCTTGACGGAGCCACACCTGAGCGCACTCTGCCCAAAGACAGAGATGCAACTGAGAAATGATAAATATTGTGTTATAAACTGCTCGAGAGAGTAATTTACACACTAATGTAAGAGAGAGAGAGAGATTGCTGTAGTAAGTGTGAGAGGAAAGAGAATCAGAAAAAAAAATACATACTGAATGAAAGTGAGAGAGAAGGAGAGGAGGAATACGAGACATAAAAAGAGGGTGATAAACAAGAGATATGAATGCGGTGGGAGGAGAGAGAGAAATGACGTAAAACATAACAGAGAAAAAAGAAATAGTGAAAGACGTAGAAAGAAAGAGATATTGAGAGAGAGAAAAGGGGAGAGAGAGAGAGAGAGAAAGTGAGAGAGAAAGATAGTGAGAGAGTAAAAGAGAAATGGAGAGAGAGAGACACACACAGAGACAGAGAGACAGAAAAAGAAAGAAAGAAAGAAAGAAAAAAAGAAAGAGAGAGAGAAAGAAGACTGCGTGTTTGAAGGCGAAAGTGTGGCAGAAAAAGAGTGAAAGAAAGAGATAGATTAAAAGAAACAGAAAGGCAAAGAAAAAAAAAGACTGAAAGAAAGAAAGCTAGAAAGAAAGTAAGCGAGACAAAGAGAAAGAGAGAGAGAGAGAGAGGGTGAGGCGGAATGAAAGAAAGAGATAAAGAAAGACGAAACAAGTAGTGCATGAAGAGGATAGAGAAATGAATTGAAAAGAAAAGAGTGGACCAGAAAAAGAAGGAAGAGAGAAATGGTGTGAAGGGAAGAGCTAGAAAAGAAAAAAAAAGAAAAGCAGTAAGAGAGAGAGAGAGAGAGAGAGAGAGAGAGAGAGAGAGAGAGAGAGATGATATGCGAAAAAGCGAGGTGGAGATAAAAATTAAATAAAAAGAATAGAAAAATAATAAAAAAGAATTATGAAAGTGTGAGAGAAGTATAAGAGAAAGAGTAAAAAAGAAAGAAAAAGATAGAGATAATGAGGGAAAGCAAGTGAGAAAGACAACGTAAAGAAAGAAATACAACAGAACAGCAAAAAAGAAAGAAAGAAAGAAAGAAAGAAAGAAGGAAAGAAAGAAAGTCTGCTGAAACACTTTAACAATGTACGAATTGAAAACAGAGGCACTGAACTGTTACGTAATATCAGTTTTCCTATATAGCAGTGAAGGTTGAATAATCTCCTCACATATAAAGAAGAGACTTGAAACAACAGAATGTCGTTTTACAGAAGGACCCTAAAATATACCATGGACCAAGCATGTGAGCAATGGTGAAGTTTTAGAGAAAATGGCAACGAAAAGGACACATACTTAACATCAGGAAGAGTTGAAATATAATGACGTAAGAGCGCTTGGAAAATTTAATACTTACAGGACAGGTCGAATGCAAGAGAGACAGAGGAAAACAACGCATAACCTATCTAGCGAGCTTGAGCCAATGGATGGCGGAACAAGGTTTAGGAGAGAGAATAAATCGATTAAATTTACTAAGAGCTGACAAAGTTAACCTGGCCGCTGCTTTTGAAAAAGATCTCCAATCAGTGGTTAACTGTGGCAAGAAATAGCTTGTAAACTTGAATGCCTCCGAAATTAAACTACTTTTATCTAACCACCACAGAGAAACTTCTCTGCCCGCCATCAGCATGCTCGACTCTAAAGAGCCTTCCTGGCCTCACGTTTTCAATTAAGTTGAAGTAGAACAACTACATTGAATCAATAGCTGCATCTACTGCAAGGAAATTTGGTTCATTGTACCGTGCAAGAAGATTTTTATTGTCAAAGTCCATCTTACAAATTTATAAATCTACCATTAGACCTTACATTGAATACTGTTGCCATATATGGCTCGGTGCCCCTGCTATTCATCTTGAGGTTCGCGACAAAATTCAAAGAAGGATCTACAATGTAATCGATCCGGAATTGGCATCTCGACTTCAGTCACTTTCTCACAGACGTGATGTGGCTTCCCTCTGTCTTTTCTACAAATATATTTATGGCAACTGCTCTGACGAGTTTTTTCCCCAGGTGCCCTGGATACATGAATTTAAGCGTGCTACTGGATTGACATCTAGGTCCCACTCTTTTAATGTTGAAAGAGATACAGGCAACCACCATTTCTACCTGAAAGGTTTCTTTTCTTGCACTTCCCAACTGCGGAACTCCCTTCCGCTTATTTGCTTCTCTGATAAGCACAATCTTCAAAAATTTAAACGCAACATCAATCGACATTTTCTGTTGTCATGAACACCGTTCATCTTTTATTCTTTCCTCCATCCCCCTACAGTCTTTTCTCTAACTTTTACTCCGTGTAATCAGCTGCGTACTAGAGGCACTTCCGCCTTGCTTGGGGTGAAATGATAAAAAAAAATCTACACACACACACACACACACACACACACACACACACACACACACACACACACACACACGCACACACAGAGACACACACACACACACACACATACAGAGACACACACACAGACACACGCAGACACACACAGACAAGACAAAAACACGTGATGTATAACGGACAAATAAAAAACAAACACAGAACACAAAGAACCGGAACTTTCTTTTCCATATTTTCAAAGGTTTCTGATGAATCTTAAATAAAAATAAAATTTTTAAACTTATCCTATTATATATATATATATATATATATATATATATATATATATATATATATATATATATATATATAATGCTCAAACACTAATATTCCATGTTTATAATTTATTACATTGGAATCGTAATCACGATCAAAATCATCAGACCTACAAATTCAAAAAAGCTTCTTACTCTGTCCTGGACATTGAGTTCTACCTGGATTCTATCCTCTTAGGAATATATATATATATATATATATATATATATATATATATATATATATATATATATATATATATATATATATATATATATATATATATATATATATATATTATAAATTAATTGATTTAAAATATGTTTTTTCGTTACACAGTTCTTAAACAGTTCTAATATGTTTCAAAAATTAAAGACATTAGTTCCATTTCATCCTCAAGCTAAAGTCTCCGGAATATAATTTTGTTCTTTCTTAATTAAATTAAAGACATTAGTTCCACACACATATATATATATACATATATCGTGCGATGGATATATTGAGGTCTAAATGACGCAAAATGATTATTTAACAGACATATTTACAAAATTAAACATAAATATCTTTATTAATTCAACCACACACTGAGGTGAAATGATTAAAAATCTAAACACACACACACACACACACACACACACACACACACACACACACATATATATATATATATATATCGTGCGATGGATATATTGAGGTCTAAATGACGAAAAAATGAAAATAACGCTGACAGCTCGTTTTAAAAGACATATTTACCAAAATGAAACAAAAATATCTTGATATACTAATACTTCAACCACGCCTCCAGATAACTTCAGAATTTCCTGAGGTGAAATGATTAAAAAGAATCTACACACACACACACACACACACACACACACACACACACACACACAGAGAGAGAGAGAGAGAGAGAGAAGAGAAGACAAAAAAACGTGATGTATAACTGACAAAAGGCAAACAACACAGAACACAATGTACAAGAACTTTTTTTTCCATACAACATTTCCAAAAGTTTTTGATGAATCTTAAATAAAAGGAAAAATTGCAAATTTCTAAACTTATCATATATATATATATATATATATATATATATATATATATATATATATATATATAGCGTGCAATGGATATATTGAGGTCTAAATGACGCAAAAATGACAGCTCGTTTTAACAGATATATTTGCCAAAATTACACAAAAATATCTTGACCACAGCCTCCAGAGAACATCGGAATCACCTGCAACTCTTCTGGGCGGTCTTCTTGTTTAAGTTGATGAATGCTGCTATAATCCTTGCCTTCAATTCATCTTTGATGTCACAAGGAATTTTGTTGGTCACTCACTCAACTGTTCCCCACACATAATAATCAGGGGTTTGCAGTCTGGGAAGGTAGATGGCCAGATATAAGGGGGTGATGTGGTAGCAGAAATTGTCTAACAGCCATGAATGGGTTCT